CTGAGTTCCTGCAGCATTCTCAGCTTTTATGTTTAGTTGTTAAAATATACGTTACTTTGTATTTTTCGTGAAAGGTTTGTCGAGCAGAGAGACCCAAACCAGGATTATGTTGAGTGTATTTAAAATAAAACACTTGGCTTTAACGAGTCCAGACTGCATGCGGTTCTCGGAGGGAGTGTGTTCAGATTATGTGCCTATTATAGCTTTCTTCTCTGGTCAATGCAGTTTTACCTACGACGTTTAAACTGCAACACAACGTGTCTTTCACCAGAAACTGCTCCGGACCGTGGGGCTGTCACTGAAACCGGAGGCCAGTGGAGATGTCCGAACCTTCCTGTTCAATCTGAGCGCAGAGCGCAGCGTAGGGGCCAGGGAGGGACAGTGGGCTGGAGGGAGAGGGGGAGGGGGTTAACGTGCAGACTGGAAACCCCGCTATATTTGCCATTGCGGAACCAGGACAGGGTCAGAGAGAACCAGAGGATCCTCCCGGGCAGCGTTTTCCCCATCCGCTCCCCCCGCACCCCACCGGCGTGCTGTTCGCTCTCCCAGCACTTGCAACCACCGCTTCCCCCCAACCCCCAAACATAAAGAAAGGATGGGGCTCTCTCTCCCACACCTGGGGCAGGTTCCCGGAGCAAGCCCCAAACTGGAATCTTGTTGCAAACGGCACAGGATCGTGTCAAATAAAGTTTGAAGATAGGTTTTTTTTTGGCAGTTTGGCTCAGCGTAAACCGCGTTGTTTTTCTCTCTCTCTCTCTCTGCAGACTCTGCCATACCTGCTGAATATCCGCGCACCCCAACCCCCGGGGCTTGTAGTGCGAGTTCCAGGTCGCTCCTGTGTCCTGGTGAACGCTGCAGGCGGTCGCGGTAAACTCACCGCAAAGCAGCGCCTTCCACAGAGAGACACATACCCAAAGTGAAAACTGGAAGCTGGCGTTGAGTGTCTGCTAGACTGTGTGGGAAGATGCTCAGACAGGGTTATTGTATTGCAGGCGGCCAGTACTGTCCGTTAAATACAAATGGAATGATTAAATATAATGATATATAACAATTCCGTGAATCTGTGATAACATGTCCATTGTCTCAACTATCTGCCTATCTATCTATCTAACTACTTATCTATTTTTCTGATTCTATCTGTCTCTCCACCTACCTAGCCACCATCTGCCTCTGCTTTACTTTCCCACTTCTCTGACTTCCCTTCTGTGTGTCTCTCCCAAAGTTCATTCTCTCATCTTCCCAAAATACTCATTCTCGCTCACGGCCTCCTGCAGTTTCGTTTCCTTCCCCCCTCTTATCTTCGCTTTCTCAACCTGCTTATAAATCTCTCTACCTCTCTCTATCTGCCCCTCTCTGTCCCTATGCCCTTTACCTCTGACTCTGTCCCTCTGCCCTTTACCTCTGACTCTGTCCCTGTGCCCTTTACCTCTGACTCTGTCCCTATGCCCTCTGTCTCTGTCCCTATGCCCTTTACCTCTGTCTCTGTCCCTGTGTCCTTTACCTCTCTCTTTGTCCGTTTGCCCTTTACCTCTGTCTCTGTCCCCATGCCCTTTACGTCTCTCTCTGTCCCTATGCCCTCTTCCTCTGTCTCTGTCCCTATGCCCTTTACCTCTGTCTCTGTCCCTGTTCCCTTTACCTCTCTCTTTGTCCCTGTGCCCTTTACCTCTGTCTCTGTCCCTGTGCTCTTTACCTCTCTCTGTCCCGGTTTTCTATGCCGGTGCGGCAGCAGCTTCTACAGCCAGTTTCTAACTGCAGGCACTTTCTCGGTGCACACAAACATCCATGTGTATATTAATGTGACCTTTTATTATGGTGTCTGTAAGGGAAACAGTTGTGAATATTCCCACAGCCCCCTTCCATCCTCGAGTGCTGAGTGAATGGCTGTTTGGTACAAGCTGCTAATTCTTTTCTGTGTTTTTTTTTCAGTCTTTTCACACGTGTTTGGGTTTCATCTGTTTCCACAAGGGGAGAGAACAACCTTGGGGAGAAAAAGCGTAGTCTCCGCGCTCTGGCGATCAGTCTGTGCCAAAGGACATTCTTTACGCGTGTGAGTCACCTGCCTCCCCAAACACCTCATTGTTTTTACAGCTCGTTTTCTCCCTTTGACTTTTATGAAGCCTGTTGCACAGAAACCCCCCACAAAATGAGCTTCAAATTGGATACATATTGAGACTCTTTTGTCTGTCGAGGGTCGTACAAGGCTAATTAAATGTGATCCGGACAAATAAGTAACGTCGCCATCCATTAATCCCAACTCCGCTTTCATCCCACACTTGCATTCAGGGGCTGTGTACTATTTCTTAAAATCTGCCCACTCAGTGGGTTTAATCTATTGAGAAACATTTGCAGGAGCTTATTGTCCCCGTGAGCTTGTAGTCATTCGCTCTGAGAAAGGCGAGCAAGCGCCGCTTTGAGCCAGATTGGAGAGAAAGGATCTCTGAACACTAAAATAGATTTACGCGTTTCCAACTTCTCCTATTAATTTAAACATGACGGTTTTTTTTATTCCTCTTCAGCCCCCGCCCAGGAGTTTCACTTTTAAACTTCTTTTTTTGAAAGGGACATTCACGCCACGAACTGAAAGTCTGGCTGAATTTAATACGAAATTAATTGTTAAACACTCTCTGAATGAAAAGAGGGGGGAGTGAAGACCAGGTGAATTTTGATACGGCTTGTGAAGATATTTGCGTTTGAGACAAAAAGGAAGAAATTAAATTTTTGTTTTAACGTAAATACGGTTAGAAAGAAATCGCGTCTCCGGATCTTTCGGTTCTTTAAATGGCGTTTCCTTCAAAGTGCAGTTTGACCTGCGACTGAAAAGGAGCTCAATTAATCGGAATTCTGAGAGTTTCCAAATAAAAACAAAAATTGGAAAATAATGCCTGGATTTCATTTAACGATTAGGTAAAAGGGGGCATGAGCGATCGGCCTGGCTGTGTGATTCAGAGGCGAGAGGGTGCGATGTCAAATAGAAAAATAGAGAAATTGAAATTAATGCCCTCTCCATAGAATATTTCCAGGGAAGCTGTCAGATATTGTATTCGTTCCTCACAGTAAACGAAACGATTCACAATCTAAAGCCCTGGATAACATCCCCTCTTTCAATCTCAAATACATTTATATTGTTTGATTGTCCTTCTTATTTGTGTTCAGCCGTCTGTTTTATATTTTATTTACACACAAGTAACATTTAAAAGAAAGCTGACACATTTAACTCTAGACGCGCTCCGGGCTTTGCTTTAATGTGAAGTAAATTCGGGTAAGAATTAAAGTAAGCTTTACTTTTCCAAGCGATATTGTGCTCCCAGACAGATGTAGGGAAAAAAGAATCTCCTAACGAGGATTATCTCCCCTCCCTTCCCCGGTATTAAACCTGGCGTTTAAAGGTGAGTGACAGAAATCAGCCAACACTCATTTCGAATACTTTGCGGAGGTGGGTTTTGTAGGTGCCTCTGTTTCCCGGGTTTATAACCCCGAGCCCGGGAGGTAACATCTAAACGAATGAATGTGCTCTTTCTTCATGACCCACCTCCTACTTCTTGCTGCAATTCTAATAAATATTTAAACTGAGAATAAATGTTACCCCATCTCAGACCTCAATTGGCCTCACTCTGCCTTAAGCAGCACGCAGCTGCTTGGCCGCTAATCTCTCCTTTTCTGTCAGTCAGTCGTAACTTTTTTTTGTAAATCGCACACTCGTTTCTCCCTTCCTCTCCATTTAAAATAAAATATATAAAATCCCTCCATCTTCCCAGCTAAACCTGCCCAAATTTAACCCGCTCCTTCAACTTTGGGTCTTAAATATTTGAGTGGATTTAAAAAGAAACATTTCTTTAGGTGTCAAAGATCGCTTTTATTTTTTTCTTAAAAGGACCCTCCCGCAGAATGGCCGTGAAGGATCAATCTGTTTCACTTTTATCCGCCTTGACATTCTATCTGGCCCCTGTCAATGGGAGAGCGAGAGGGAGTGAAGGATAAAGATGTTCAGTGGCGGGACACTGCGGGCCAGACTGCCTCTGTATTCCGAATCAATCACTCTAATCGCCCCTGTCTAACATTTAAAATGTATTTAGAAAGATGGAAACAAGAGGAGCGGACTATTAGAAATCCGACAGATATTGGAGTCTCCGCTGACAAAGCGCGGCCACTGTCTGATGAATGTCAATGAATATTAAACTGAGCAACTTTTTTTTTCACTGGCAACTTCAGCCTGGCAACTTTCAGGAACTGGGCGAGGTTTGCAAATTGCTTCTTCTTCTACTCTGTCGCCCTCCGAACTGCAGAACAAGTTCAAGAATGCAAAGGCCAGGTTTAATCCCACTCCATATTCTATTGTGAATTAGCGAAATGTTTCCTCCCTGGACCCTGGGCAGAATTACTGGGGCTTTTTTTTAAGGGGGGAGGGAGCTGCGGTTGAATGGGCCGGCGATTGGGAACACGTGGTTTCAGGGGTTATTTAATCTGTCCGTTCTCGGGGGGTGGGGAGGTGGGAATTGACAACCTGTACAGGGCGCTGCAGCAAGTGAGGGCAAACACAAACATTTTTTTTTGAGGCAGTAGTGGGGGAGTGGTCCTGGGTGGGGGAGACTGATCTTACCTGGCGCACTTGTCTCTGAGTAGAAAGAGCTGCTGATGAGTGGGTGTGGGAGTGCGTCAGTGCTGGAGTTTTGGTCTCCCAAAACAGGTGTACCGGGTTTGCTGATGTTGGGACACCTCACTCCCCTCCCTCGCTCTACAATGAACTAACTCTGCTTCTTGTAACCAGCCTCCCCTCAGACGTCAGAAGGTCATTAATAACCAATTAGGAGGTCATCCAAGCGGCTATAAAGAGGGCTGAGAGATTTTTTTTGTGTGGGGAGGGGGGGATTGCAGGAAGCACGCACATAAACACACACCAGTCTCTCTCCTTGCTGCACAGTATCCCTGTGTGCCTTGGTTTCCTTCCTTGCGTAGGTATCTCTCCTTTTCCCCCTGTTTTGTTGCCAGTGACACTGAGGACCATGGGCTCTGTGTTACCATCCGAAGCGCTGGCTCTGAGAGGCGGTTTCAAGCCTCACGGCTTCTCGCTGGCGGAGATGATCACTTCAGACATCCTTCACAGCTTTCTGTACGGCAGGTGGAGGAACGTCCTGGGAGAGCAACTTTTCGAGGACAAAAGTAACAGCGGCGGTCAGAAAATCGCGTTCACCGCCGAAGCACTCGCTCAATCCTTCAGCGGAGGTGAGTCTCTAGAACGTGGTCCCGGGCAAATACACCGGGGCCATCAGAAAATCCGCCAAACTTCCTACCTTTGCTGCAAAACCAGCTACGGAAAACAGGGAGATTTCGCGGTAACAAGATCGGTGAAATCAATGCTAGTTTTATTTCGATTACTTGAAGGGGATTGTAATACAAGTTCTGATCACTATATGTTTTGCTAAAGAAAATTCGATTTTTTATTAAAGAGGTTGAAAATATTTACTTAAACGTCTTTTTTGTTCTGAATGGATTTAGGATGGAGCGCTGTGAACCAGGGCACGATCACAGCGGGTGTTGTTTTACAAAAAAGGGGAATTGTATTTTATCCAGGACTGGTAAAATGAAACAAAATTGAAAGTTTACTGCCTGAGATTTCGATCGAAAACTGATTTCAGGGATTTGTGTTCGATTCCTCCGAATATTCAGGGATTGCTCTCTGCTGTCCTTGGAGGCTTGGTGCAGGTGAATAGTGTTGATTCCTGGATAGACTCAGACTGCACAGATGGCTATTCGACTGCGTGAGCCAGCCTTTGAGGGAGAGACAGACAATTGGCTCCGCATCTTCTGTGTTGTCCACAGCCCTGTAACGGGGGAAAATCTGTCCCACGCCCTCCCTTTCATCCCCTCAACAACTGCAATTAGTATACGAGTTCAGGGAAAGTCGCCAGGTGAAAAAAAGCAGCTCACCCGATTAAATTTTAAAAGCAGTACGGAGTCGGAAGGAGCTAATGAACTGAGAGACCCCGATTCTAAAGGACAGTTTAAACAATAGAGACTCAGACAGACTGGCAGCCGAGGGGCTGAGCAGTTTCAATCACTCCCCCCTTCTCCTGTGTATGGGATCATGTCTGGTATTTAACCACCTGCCCCTCACTCACCGCAGTGTTATTATGAATTTAACGGGTAATAGTGTGCTGGGGGGAGGCGGTTATTTTATTCTAGAGGCCGGAATCTTTAAAAAAGAAATTACCAACACAGAATTTTAGCCTGAATTTAACTGGGATTTCACCAAGCGGTTCTGTGCAAGGAGACAGAGAGAGAGAGAGACGGAGCAGTGTTCCATCCTTGCTTGGGTGTGTTTGATCCGGACTGGAGTCAGATTTAGGATCACTGTTCATCGCTTCCAAACGCTGCCTCAATCCCTGTTGTGCTCAGGACCCTAATTCGACTCGGTTTGTTGTGTTAAAACAAAGTGCCATCAAAAACATGTAAAACAGCGAACTAACAGTGAAATCTCTTCAAATGCTGAATCACCCCTTTGGATCTCTTCGATTTCCATGTTGTGTACTTTCTTTGGCTGGTCCCGCCTTAGTAAACGACCGCATTTGTATAGTGAATGCAATTTCGTTCTTTACAACCTGGACTTAATTTGAGTTTATATCGTTTCCATGTTTGTCCTCTCCGTCACATTTCCTTTAAGGTGGAGAAATTTGAATCTCCGACCTGTACCCCCGCCCCCGTACCAGAAACTCCGAGTTGGGTATCTTTCTCCTCAAAGTCTGTTCAGTGCGAAACTTTGATCTCCTGCCTCTTGCTCTCCGATGCAGAAGTTCAGAAGCTGTCGAGCCTGGTGCTTCCGTCCGAGGTGATTATAGCCCAGAGCTCGATCCCTGGGGAGGGCCTGGGCATCTTCTCCAAGACCTGGATTAAACCCGGCACCGAGATGGGGCCCTACACCGGCAGAGTCATCTCCCCGGAACACGTGGACCTGTTCAAAAACAATAACCTGATGTGGGAGGTAAGGAGACACCAGGGAACAACCCCGCTTCTCAGAAAACACTGCCCTCCACATCTGGTTACAGGGGAACACCACCCTCCACATCTGGTTCCGGGAGAATAACACATTTCACATCTGATTCCAGGGGGAACACCGCCCCACCATATCTGGTTCCAGTTGGGATAACACCCTCCACATCTGGTTGCAGGGAATAACACCAACCTGTCTGGTTACAGAGGACCACTCCCACCCAGCTGGGTATGGAGAATAACACCCACATATCCGGTTATAAGGGGATAATGCCCCTACAACTGCTTTTAAAGGACAATATCGTACACATATTTGGTTAATGGAGATAGCACCTCACACGATCTGACTGCTGAGATGACACACACACATAATTGAAGAAGACAATATCACATATCTGGTTACGGGAGACAATCGCCACGCATCGGATCATAGGGACAGCAGCCATCAGTCTTGTTACAGGTGATAGCACTCACACATCTGTTCATACAAAACAACATCCATATATCTGTTTGTACTATGCCTCGCACATCTGATTGTGGGGAACACCTCAGCTACATGTGTTATAATGGATAACAATTGGACGATTGGTTATAGAGGACAACATCCTCTACATCTGGATGCGCAAGAGAATATTCTACATGCCCAATTATAGGGATCACGTTCCATCATGTTTACAGCGACAACACCTTAAACATCTGGTAATGGGAGACAGCATCTCACACTCGGTTTTCGCAACATCACCCCACACATCTGGTTTTGCAGAAAAAGCACACACACCTGGCTAAACAGAACATCCTACGCATGGGCTAACTGCCCACACACCTGGGTTACAGGGAATGACATTACAGAAGGGACTTGTACAGGATCATATCCTCAAACACACACACACACACACACACACAGTCAATCCCATTCGCGTACGGGCATACACATACAATCACTCCGACTCGCACTCACAGACTCAAATAAACTAATACGCACACAGATATACATTGTCTACACATACTCACTGCCAAACAAACACAAATGCACAGGTTATAATTGATAATCCACAGCAGTTATAATAGAAATAATACGTTATATATTATAGTTATTGGGAAAATTATTCCTGATCTGAGTTAAGGGAATAACACTGCACACTTAGGGATTCCAGTGTATTGTTGGTACCAGCTTCGTCATTAGATCTTGCAGGTGAGCCTGTTTTGAGGTTTGGATGCTTTCTACTCAGTTCAACGTAAAGACTACTCTGGTTGGGGAACAGGTTTCAGCAATGCACTGTGTTGGTTGGTGGCACCATACTATTTCATTTAACAATAATCTTGTCCCAGAGCACACATGCGAATTGCAAAATCAGGGCTCTGTCAGCCTGAATCAATACTCTGGAATTTTGTCATGGGGTTTTATTGATGGGAAATACAATATATTCCACATGTAACCATTAGGAAGTTTGCTTGTCCAAATGATTGACGAGCTTGGGTTTGGGACTCTCAACCATGTTAGTAGATTTTACATATGGCGAGACACTTGGGCTGGTAATGAACAATTACTTTGGCTATACAGAATGATATAATGGACCCTTAAGCTTGATAAAGAGAAACATTCACTTCAAAGTGACTCTACACAACCTGTTCAGACAGGGATTAGAGATGGATGCTTTTTTTGGAAATAGCTGGGACAGAGCACTGAGATGAAATTGGATGAGAATGGGTGTGAAACAGGATAGCAGTGTCTGATATCTCTCTCTATCCCCTCAGTGCTAGATTCCTGGGAATTGTAACAATTGTAACAATCCTGGGAATATTGAAAATTATCTGTTTATAAAAGTTTGGTTTATAAATGAATGATGAAATGAGTTGTAAGAACAAACGGGAGCGAACTTTTAGTATCACTGCAATTGTCATTCACCAGTCTCTCACTCCACGTCCCTCTCTCCCACCTCTTGTTCCTCATCTCTTACATTTTGGTCTCCCTACCTCGTAATGTTGTTTCTCCTCTCACTCTCATGATGCGCACTGCTCACTCTTTCACTCATTCTGTCTTTCGCTCTCATGCCCTTATCTTCACTTTGTCGCCATCTATTTCTCTGATGTTCCCATTTTTCCTCCTGTTTAAACCGGCTTTCGTCTTATGTTTCTCGCACATTTTTATTCTATGATAGTTTATATCTAATATTAATTTTGTTTTCACAGGTAATTTTTAAATTTGTCAATGTTTAGTTTTAGAAATATCGATTCAAATGGGAAATATCTTTAACGATATTCTGCCCGGTCCCACAAGTTCCTCAGGGTATTTAACCATTTCTACATTTTTACTCGCACTTTTCCCCTCACTGCTGTTATTCCTTGTCAACTTTCTACCCTCTTCCGCCGCTCCTGAAATAGTTGCTTGCTTCTGGCGCACAGTCCTGTGTTGGCCATTTCCTGGGTCTTCAGACTGATCTTGTTTAGAGTGACCTTTCTATGAGATAGGGACGGGAAAGAAAACTGTGGATTGGATTGGACAGCGCTTTCAAACAACCGGCACAGACATGAGGGGCCGAATGGACTCCTTTTGTGTCGCAAGTTTCGATGGTCCCAGGTGTCCGTTTGGTCCCTGGGAGTGACCTTTCCTAGTTGAGGTTTCTCAGTTATACCCGGAGGACGGGATGCAGAGAAGCGGTTCAAGACACCAGTACAGGTCAGGCTCAATTTGAGGATACAGGAGGAGGACACATATTGCAATCTCACCCGCTTTAAGGGAAAGGGGAGTTGTAAAAAAAAATTGAAACTGACCTCTGGCTCCAAAACCCGAGTGTTCTGTGCCCGTTTATTCCGTTATTCAGCACCGCCAGGATCTCAGTATGGGCTGTATATGTACACTGTCCTCAATCCTTTACAGCGGGCTCACTGTGCAGCCGCGGGCCTTCTCAACTCAAACCCGCAACGCGGAGCATCCGCCTGGTTTTACTCAGGGTCAGGGTTCCACATTGGTGTCCCGGGTCAGTTCGAGCGCGCTGGGTCAGTGCCAGTGTCCCAGGTCAATGCGAATATCCAGGGTCAGCGCCAGTGCTGTGGATTAGTGCCAGTGTCTTGGGTCAGTGAGCATTTCAGGGTCAGTATCCCAGGCCAATGTCAGGGTTCCGGCTGGTTCCAATGTCAGTGCTTGTGCCTCGATCAGCTGGAAGAGTGTATCCTGGGTCAGGGTGAGTAATCCTGGACTACTGTGAGTGTCCCGGGTTACCATTACTTTCAGTGTCGTTATCCCAGGTCAGAATGTGTCCCCGGTCAGTGCTAATTTTAGCATCCGTGCCCCGGGCCAGTGTCCGTGTCCCGGGTCAGGACTAAACCCCTCTCCCTCTCTCTGTCTCTCTGGCCCAGGTTTTCAATGACGATGGCACGGTGCGGTATTTTATTGACGCCAGTCAGGAGGACCACAGGAGCTGGATGACCTACATCAAGTGCGCCAGGAATGAGCAGGAACAAAACCTCGAAGTGGTACAGATCGGAAACAACATTTACTACAAGACCACAGAGGTGAGGAGCTCTCAGGATGCTGGGGAGGAAGGGGCATGGGAAACTGGTGCTGTGCCAGTTTAGCTCAAGCTGCCAACTGGCTCCTGAGGGCCAAGTGCTGTCGGTTCGAGCCCCGCAGCCGCCAGATCCGAAAGCCGGTGATGATTATAACGGGAACGGAGTCAGGGCGAAATAACCCTCAGGAGGTGCAGGAACGGGGCGGGGTTGAATTTGGAACATTTCTCACAGAGACACCCTCCAAGTCTATCTCTGTAATCACAAACAGATAATCCAGGTCGGATTGAATCTTTGAAATTGAGAGCGACGGTGAATACTCCCCAAAGCATTGTTCAGATTTCCGGCGTTTGCAATGTGTACATAGATGTTTAAATGTATTTTCCAAGTGCAAATTATATAAATATATACCTGCATATAGCCCTTCCGTGAACATGGGTAGGTTATTGATCATTAATTTATCCCCAGGGCTCAATTGCCGTGGAAGTGTCGATCTGGACCCGAAACATTAACTCTGCTTTCTCTCTCCACAGGTGCTGCCAGACCTGTTGAGTTTCTCCAGCAATTCCTGTGTTTCTTACAATCAGTTCCACTTGATTTCAGTCAGAACATCAGCCGGACACTAGAACTTGGGATCCCAGCCTTAACAGCCTTGTGTAGTGTCAGTGGGCAGCGTCTTTAAAGCAAACTTCCTCCTCTCCCCCCGGAGCTAGTTTCCTGTATTCGGACTCACTGGGACCTTCAATAGGTTCCACGAGGTTTGTTGTCGCTCCGTTTTGCCCCGGGTGTCCACTAGCGAAGCCACTGGTGGTATTTTCAGCTGCCCCCTACTCCGGATCAGACCCCGGCAAGTCACAGAATGTTTACAGCACAGGAGGCCGTTCGGCCGCTCCTGTCCGTGCTGGGCTTCTGCAGGTGCAACTCATCGTCTCCCCACCCACTTTCCGAGTGGCCCTGCAAAACTTTTCTCTTAAAATTCCACCGCACCCATTGAAATCCTCGGTTGAATCTGACTTTAAAAGACCCTTTTTGCCCCCGCTACCGTCGCCACTATTGCCCCGCGCTTTCAACCGCTATCCGAGATAACAAGGTGTAGAGCTGGATGAACACAGCAGGTCAAGCAGCATCAGAGGAGCAGGAAGGCTGACGTTTCGGGCCTGGACCCTTCTTCAGAAACTGTTCATCCAGCTCTACACCTTGTTATCTCAGATTCTACAGCATCTGCAGTTCCTACTATCTCTTCAACCGCTATCCTCCGGTTTTCCACACTTTCCTCAAACGGGAACAGTGTTTCTCTATGTCGCCTGCCCAGATCCCTCAAGACGTTAGAAAACTTCAATAATATCTCGTCTTAACCGCTCCTGTAAATCCAGATGGTAAAGGGATCGCAAGCTAATTGACCACAGAGGTTTCACACATCCCTGTGTTTCTAACAGGGCAATCCGTGTGTGTGTGTGTGGAGTGGGGCGAGCGGGCTGCCTCTCTTCCACAAACAAAAGCAGAAGTTGCTGGAGAAACTCAGCAGGTCTGGCAGCATCTGTGAAAAAAAAAAATCAGAGTTAACGTTTCGGGTCCAGTGACCCTTCCTCAGAACTTCTCTTCCATCTCTCCCTAATTACTGGCGTATCCCTGGCTCACCTACCTCAGTTCACCTGAAAGGAATATCTTTGGTGCAGATTTAATAGGCGTTGTTTTAGTACTTCGGGTAAACAATGTTTTTCACATGAACACTGAGGCTGCTGGAGAAACTCAGCAGGTCTGGCAGCATCTGTGGGGAGAGGATCGGAGTTTCGAGTATGGAATGAACTCCCAGTCCTTTTCACTTTGAGGGAAGCGGGGCCGGTCCCCGGGTTTGGCGGTGGTTAATGGGAAATTCAACAGACTAATGGCACCAGTAGATTGTTATTCCCCCTCTCTCTGAGCTGAGTAAATTCATACGGAATTACTGTTGGACAGTTCCCACTTCCCACTCCTGAATCTGAGGTGGGTGTAATGGGACATTGGAACCCGAGCTGAAGCGGATCCAAGCTGAAGTTCTCCCGGAGACTGGATGTTTGTCACGTTTCAGCAGGGATGTGCAGATGAGAAACAGATGAATAGTTTATAGTTTTTTTTTCTGAAGAAGGGTCTAGGCCCGAAACGTCAGCTTTCCTGCTCCTCTGATGCTGCTTGGCCTGCTGCGTTCATCCAGCTCTACACCTTGTTATCTCAGATTCTCCAGCATCTGCAGTTCCTACTATCTCTGAAACAAATAGTTTATGTCAGTTTAGTTTAATAGTTTATATCAGCGGCTCGATATTAGAATACGATCCTAACTACAGAGATTAACTCATATCTCCATTTCTCTGTTCACTTTAGACTATCCCTCCGGACCAGGAACTGCTGGTGTGGTATGGAAATACACAGAACACATTCCTCGGCATCCCAGGAGTTCCAGGGCTGGAGGAGGAACACAGGAAAAAGAACAAAGATGGTAACGAATGTGAAATAATGCTGAGGTGCGGTGGGAAGGTGGGTGCTGTTATCTAACAGGGAAGCGTTTCCAAGGGTGGATTGCCAAGGAATGAGACAGCCGAATGTTTCCTGTTTGTGGCGTAAACATTGGCGAGAAAAGTGCGGAAATTAGAGAGTTTTTTTTACAAAATCAACTCTCGAATTGGGAGATGAACAACCGCAAATTTCCACGTAAGATTTATATGACGCCTTCAGAATCTCACCATTGGGTGGCATTTGCGTTTCCTTAAAGCCCCCAACTCGCCTTATTGATCGCCACTTCCAAACCTCACCCCGCCCAGAAATAAGACGGTAAAAATTCCGCACAGGTATATCGGGGCCAGTACCTGGTCCTGCAGCTCCCGGGTGCTTATCCAGGCCATCTTACCAATTGCTTCTGCATGGTCCATTGTCACCATCCTCTTGGACACTTCATCCACCCACACTGCAATCAGCAAACCACCAGCCTCACCCCATCATTGCACTTTCTCCCGGACAAACTCTTACATCACCTCAGCCTTTCAAACATTCCTTTGGACCTCAAGGTTCCCTGTGACTCTGCCAGGTCACTCTACACATAAGGACAGAGAGCTCACTCACTTTGCTTCCACTTGGAGGCTGCCAGGTTTTGTCTACTTCACAGTTTTTATTTATTTCTTAGCACACATTCACTGTCTCCAGCACTGACTTAGGGTCTGCCAGCCTCTCACTGTTGGGTCACCTTGCTTTCTTTGTGCACAGGGTCTTTAGTGCTCAGTTACAGGCTGCCATCCTCTGTGGCATACAATACTTTTTAGCATAGAAGGAAAGGCAGGGATCTTGACACAGCACGGAGCACTGTATCACTATGGGGGTCGGTACGTCAACATCACAACTTATAGCATGGTCAGAGATAGTAAGAACTGCTGATGCTGGAGTCAGAGATAACACAGTGTGGAGCTGGAGGAACACAGCAGGCCAGGCAGCATCAGAGGAGCAGGAAAGTTGACGTTTTGGGTCAGGACCCCTTAAACCACAAACACACTGCTTGTCCTTCACACTAAAGGCCATGTGTGATAGTCAAGAGCCCACAGACCTAACTGGGGTCAAGGATTCTATGGTCAATCAGTATTACTACCCCAGTCAGTTGAGGCGTTCTTTCTATTACAGTCCAGTGGGATTGGCTATAGTCAGCCAGGCACATAATCCTCTCAGATTCCAGAGATCAGTGTCTCTGCAGTGTAAAGTCTGGATTATGGTCAGGTGGCATGCCTGCAGGTGAAATGCCACCTTTTGGTAGGATTAGGGTTAGGGGTCAGGCAGGGTGCTGTGCTGGTAACAATCCAAGGGGTTGGCCAGTTTTACATTCAATGAGACAAAGGGTGGGATTGAGAATGAAGGAAGTGGATGTACAAGCAGTTAGTGGTAATGCAGAAGAGGTGGTGAGGTAGGATGCACAGAGCTCAGGAAGGGTGTTAGTAGTCAAAGAACAATACAGAGAGTGGTAGTCCAGGATCTTTGTGAGTGGCATGAGTTAGATCGAGTGGTGTCTTGTGAGGTTGAGGTGGAAGAAAGAACATGGTGTCTCTTACCCTTGTGGACAGCAGAAGATCATTGATCTTCTTCCTGCACTGCCGGACATCTGGTTTTACTCAGGACACAGCACTGATCCAGGCAAGAATTTGTGTCCATGCTGGCTGGGTCCAGTGACATGGCTTCCTATGGTGGTCTGCAGGGAAATGTACAGCTGTCCTCTCCACCACCCAGTTCACCAAGATCTCCATGACCCTGTCTGCACTGTTGAGAGCGAATATTTCTTTCCATTGGGCCAATGATCAAGCAGTGCGGTATCAGGGCCAGTTCCTGGCTTGCAGCATCTGAAGTGGGGTGCAGCTGGGCTTTAACTATAGCACCCAGTGATACAAATACTGGAATGACCTGGCAATGGGGAGTAGTCCACCTCTTCAACCATGCAGTTCCCTCAGAAAGGTCCCAGAAGCATGGCTGCAAAATTGCTGTGGTGAATAGTGGAAGATTGCATGAGAGAAATCACTCAGTGACATGGCAGACCAGGGGCCATTCGTCAAAACACTAACTGAAAATGAAAAATTCCACTCAAACACTGACTGTTTAAACACTATTGTAAAAGTGCCTTCCTGTCTA